CAGCGGCCATGGCTCATAGGCCCAGCGGCCATGGCTCATAGGCCCAGCCACTCTGCGGCATGTGGGATCCTCCCGGACCGGGGCACGAACCCATGTCCCCTGCATCGGCAGGCGGACTCTCAACCTCTGCGCCACCAGGGAAGCCCCTTAATTCTGTTCTTTAAAAGGCACTTCTCAATCAGTGTACTTTAAATTACCATCATTTTGAAATGCAGTTCTGATTTAGCAGGTAGGGAGTGGGGCCTATAATCCTGTATTTTATCGGTATTACCCCAGTGGCTATAGCCTAACAAGGCAGGTGTGAAGAATTACAAGTTCGACTCTTATGACTGAGGTAGGGCTCTCAGGTGGCAAGGCAAGATTTGCTGGAGTTGAGTTGGTGTCATACTCCCTATTAATTACCCAGTTAAGTAATCGAGTAGCGCCCCTAGCTGAAGAGGCTGAGCCCCATTCTCAGCGCAGTCTGCTTCTAGAAGGCATTTGCCGAGTCTCCTTGATAACTTCAGCTTCCTTCCCTACCCTTCAAGGCGCGGGGAGCTCTGGTCCTGGGATAACTCTTGGTTGAATCCCAGCTCTGCCACCTGCCAGTGACGGGCACTTGGTAAGCTCCCTGCTGGGGGCCATCAATAGGGCTCACAGCGCTGGGCTGGGATTACAGGTGACACGTGCAGCACCACCCACAGTGCCTGGGCCCCAAGTCATCGCTCAGGTGGTGGTTAGCCTAAGGTCTCCTGTGGAGAGGAGAGTTAGAAGACAGTCCTCCACGGGTGCCTGGGGGCACTGCACACAGCAGGTAGAAGACGCCTGAGGGCATCTTCCAGGCAGCTCCATACCACCCAGAACCTGGAAGTTTCCAGCCCTTACCTGGGAGATCCACAGGACACCTGAACAGCTTTGTCTCTGTAACCGTCCTGCGTCCACCCGCATCTGCTCCTTCAACTCCAACGGGCATGATGTAGTGGGAGTCCTGGAGAAACAGGCCCCAGGAGTCAGCCTGGATGCTGGCACAGGCGTCTCAGCGTTCCTGAGGGCCGGGTCATACTCACCCACTCAGTGACATAGCAGCCACTGTAGGACACGTCTACCACCAGGGAGCTGCCAGGGCCCTCGCTGACCCGGGTGCCACACTCAGAGTCATTCTGCAGCCTGTGCGGCAGCCCGCGATTATCTGGGGGCGGGGAAGGGGGGAAAGCACAGATGGTCAGTCACCACCGTCACCAGTGCCGAGAAAGGACTGCCAGCTTTGCCTTAGACCCCAGGGATAGCTGCCAAGAAAAGAGGAACAAAAGGGGAATCGGATTCAGAAGCAAAGCTACATTTTAAAAGATTCGTTCTAGAGAGAGAAGCGGCAGAGTTTAACAAAGGGGGGAAGCATGAGGACAGGAAGCAGAGGGCAGTTCTAGGCAGTAGAGGAGACACGCCATTGCCTGGCTCAGTCTTCAAACCTACCCCAAGCTATTAGTGCAGGAGGGGTTGCTGTCTCCTGGCTGAGGTTTATGGTGAACTGAAAGCTCCTTAGCCCACAGCGGAGTCCACCGGGATAACCTGGTGCCTTGGGCTCATGCTGGCCACTCAGAGCAACAGACAGCGGAAACCAGAGCCAGAGGGATTGCAGCAGCCACATAGCAGCGTCACCGGGAGCCCGACTGACCACGCTTCCTGTCCTGCACTTCCTCTCCCAAGAGCCCGCGCTCCCCATGCCCTTTATATACAGAGGGAAAGCTCGTTTCAGGTGCACATCTATGTAGCATGCAGGTGGGACTCCTTTGGAAAGGGTGATTCCTCCAGCTTCATTCACTTTAGGCCACAGTCTGCAGCTGCAGTGCTTTAAACATCGAAGTCAGGCGGTCTTCAGAGCCCAGGAACAATGTGGTGCCTTTTAGCTGAGAGAGGCTTTCTCCCGGTTGCTCAGTGTAGCGCTTAATTTACTAGCTTATTGACCTTTAGAAGCTTGCATATTTGGGTGTAAATCCTAGCTCTGCCACTTATGAGCTGTATGAACTGGGTAAGTTACTACCTCTCAGAATCTCAGTATTCTCATCTGTAAACTGGGAATATCTCCCGGCAGCTGTGTTCTTTTGATTGTATTTAGCCTAATATTTATGATAGGAACAATTTTCCCAAGTTGACTAAGAATCTTTGTCAGAGCACTGAGAACATGTAACCAGGTATCTATAATTCTCTTCAACTAATAAAAGCGAATAAGCATGTGTCTTCCCCGGGGAAATTGCACAACTCATTTAACCATGTGGTGACAAACAACACTGAGGAAATGCTGGACTCTGCCCTCGGGGATGGGATGTGGCTTTCCAACACCTCTGTCTGGTTTGGGTTTGGCCACTAGCCCATCACATCCCATTTACTTACTCACAGGACTTACCACATTGGATTTTAATGGCCTCTTATTTACTCAGTGTCCCTACTAGAAGCACTTGAGGGCAGGGACCGATGTTTTTTCATTGCATCCTGAAAGCCTTAGAAAGTGTGTCCTCAGTGTTTACTGGGGAAAGAATGAATCAATGAATGTACTTTCATTAGTGGCCATGTCCTAAGGCTAACCCCCTTGAAAATGTGGTTTCCCAACCTCACTGGTACAGATTCATTTCCTTTGTGATGAGCTCAAACTCATAATATGTAGGTGTTTTTTCTTCAAGTCATTATACATGTGAATAAGTATAAGAATGAAGAGGAATATAACAAACTAGTGAATAAAACAAAAAAGAAACAGACTCACAGATATAGAGAACAAACGAGTGGTTACCAGTGGGGAGGGGGAAGGAGGGAGGGGCAAGATAGGGGTAGGGGGAAAAAGTTATTATGAGATTATATGAAATCATCTGTGTGAAACTTTTGAAAACTGTAAAGCACTATAGAATTTCAAGAATCTTTCATTCAATAAAAAAAAAAGGATGAGGGTTGGACTTGTGTGTGATGTCTCAGGAGCTGAACGGCCAGTCTCCCCACTGGACTTATGAATGTTGCTCCCTAAAGTACTGAAAAATCAAGGAAAGTTTACCTATTTTGCTAAAACTTGGAGGCAGTATAGAATATGGTTATATGGATTTTGGCAACGGGTGAATCTGGGTATAAATTCTGAGTCATTACTTACTAGCTCAGTGACCTCTGTCAATGAGTTACAATTTTTACATCTGGAAAATGGGGATAATAACACCTACCTCACAGGGGAGGTATTATTATAACGAACAGGTTTTTGTTCGATTAAATTATGTATGGGTAGTGCTTATTATACAAACCTTGCTGCATAATCGTGACTTGTTAAATTGTCGCTAACATTAACAAGACAAGTCTATGTGCTTGGGAAACAAAGGTGAGATGGGAGGTGAAAAGAAAGCAAGTGCCAAGCAATGGCCTCCTTTGCTCAGTGCCAAGTCTGAAGAGCAGCCTGTACTTCTGGGGTTGCATTCCCTTGTGAGGGTATGTGTTTATACAGCTGAGAAGCAAACATGAAAGTCTGCAACTATGTTGTGATATCTGGAAGTCCACCCAGGCTCACACCAGTCACGCTGATGTAGAGGGTCAAGGGTGAATCCCAAGATACACCAGCAGGGCTGAGATGAGGTGAGTTCACACTCACTTCTGCACTAAATCCTCTGAGGACATCTTTATTCAACGACACGACTCGGTTTCGGGAGAGAAAATGCACTGATAATATGTGGTCCACCTCAAGGAGCCCCGATTATCTCAAAAGTAACCCTCTGCCCTTTGAATCTGGAAGGGCAAAGGCTGCTCTTAGTATTCTCTTATATTAAAACCATCTGCTCGTTTAAAAACAATTCTAATGGGGGACTTCCCTGGTGGTCCAGTGGTTAAGAATCGGTCTTGCAATGCAGGGGAAGCCGGTTCAACTCCTTGTCAGGGGAATAAGATGCCACATGCCGCAGGGCAACTAAGCCCGTGTGCCACAACTACTGAGCCCTCACGCCACAACTACAGAGCTCACGTGCTCTGGAGCATGCATGCCACAACTAGAGAGAAGCCCATGCACCACAACGAAGAGCCTGTGTGCCACAATGAAAGATCCCGGGTGCCGCAACTAAGATCCGATGCAGCCAAAAATAAATAAATAAATATTAAGGAAAAAATAAAAAAGTAAAAAATAATAATTTTAGTGGGATTACAGGTAGAATACAAATCACATAAATTGTAGACTTATCAAAAGCCCTGTCATCACTGCAGTGTTCATTTGACTCACGTTTTATAGGCATATTTAAGGATACACTTTGTGTCACCTACCAAAGGACTATATTATAACCCTGGCTTTCCAGGGTCCCCAGCTTGTAGACAGCAGGTCGTGGGACTTCTCAGCCTCCATAAACATGTGAGCAAATTCCTCATAATAAATATATATCTATACACTGTAAGGCCAACTGGCCCGAGGCAGAGGAACACAATCAGATTCACAGGTTACATCAGACCGAAATTCTCCAGACCACCCAGTTCCAGAAACTGCCCTGGAGACATTCTGGACCACCCAGTTCCAGGAACTGACCTGGGGACTTTGAACCCAGCCCAGCCTTCCCGCCTTTCGAGGGGCGGGACTAACGGTCCCCCAGGATACCCGAAAAGACCACCAAATAAGGAATACCCTGAGCCCTCCCAGATTCACCACACCCCTTTCCCTTCTTCCCCTATAAAGTCTTGCCCAACCCTCGCCCGGGCGCGACTTCTCTGGCCCCCTTTCTCTCGGACCAGTGAACCTCGCCAGGGAGCGCTCCCTAATAAAGCTCACTTGAAGCTTTCCTCTGTTTCGCGGTGCCGTTTGTTAAGATCCGACCTTACATACACCTCTATCTCCTACTTGTTGTTTCTCTGGAGAACCCTGACTCACACACTGCTCATTCCTTATTCACTGGACTGGCCCCCGAGGGTCCCCGAGACATGGGAGGGCAAGGAGAGCCTGTGCTACTGGGGAAAGGCAAAGTCTGATTTCTGAAAACCTTGCTCACTCTGGGCATACCTTCTTTGAGTTACATTTGAATGTTTCGATTTAAACTAAAGAACAAGGGTATAGCTATGCCAGGTTTACTAACACTCCCTTTATTGGAAATGGGCTCACGTGGCGATTTCTTTAGAGACTGGCTGCGTTTTGATAGATACCAGGGTTGTTACTGCTTTCTGGCCGTTGGACACATGTTCCTTGAGACCTGGTGTGGACAGCAGTTCCCTTGCTGTGACTGGAGTGTGCCCTCCTGACTGGAAGGTGGGGTATCATATAAACAAAGCCCCAGGAAACTCTCATCATGTGTGAAAAAGCAATAATCAAAATTACCCCTCAAGTATGGAGGACCGATTAGACCATTGTGTGTGCTAATCAGTAATTAGGGGGCACCCAGCTGTTCTCGGCAAGTGGTGGAAATAGGACACTTCTCTTCTGAAGGAAGACATCCAACACTGTACTGCAATACTTACATGGCTTTCCTTCTCAGCAAGCAAGAACCAAGTGGCAGCCTGAGTCAGCTGTGAGGTGATGAGTCCTAGCCCCAGGTCTTCTCTCGACGTCCTCCTCCCCGCCTGGGCCAGGCAACCCTCTGCCCTGGCTGCCCAGCCCCGACTTGCTCTCATTTTGTCTTGCCTCTCCTGCTGTCACCACGACCACTGCCAGTAGGGGAAACGATCCTTCCTTCTTCCTCAGGCAGGAGGGGCCCCAGCTGAATGGGCTTTTGGACTTTGAGAGGAATGGCAAGGTACTGGCTACCTCTCTCTTGAAGTGGAAGAGTAGTTAGGTGATTAAGAAAGAGGTAGTAAACTGCTAAAGAAAGAAAAAGAACTAAAATTAAGGACTTTGGGGTGGGGATTGTACAGCTGGTGTGAGATTTCTGGCCTGTACAGTGTCTACTGAAATGCATGCCCCCCTCCTGAATTAGGCTCAAAGGGACGCCAGTCATGCTGGATGAGAGTCCACACCAATTACCCCATTTTAACTTGATTACCCCCATAAACACCCCATTTCCAAATAAGGTCACATCTGGTTAGGGGGTTCCCAGAGAAAGAGAACCAGGAACGGCTTTCTTGAAAGGAGAAGCCCTTTTGGCCTAAGCCCTTTAGTGTTCTAAGCCTGGCCGCAATGCCTGCCCTTGAACAGGTCTCAGTAATCAAAGATCTTAAGGAACAAAGGAATGCAGGAACAGAGAAAAGGCAGTCAAACCAGAGTGCGATGATTGAAGCAGAGGCCTAGCTCCTCCTCAAGGGATATACGTAACAATCTGACACTTGTCTTTGAGTTCTGCAGAAACTAAGGCCCCCAACCAGGTGGAGGACGGAATGGTGATGCTGACCCTCCTGACTTCAATCAACTGAAGTTTGGACTCTGTCAACCTCTGCCTCAGTTTTATGCTGAGTTCTCCTCTGCTCAATCCCCTTCATGAATATGCATGCGCCCTTAGCTTAACTTCCCCAGTTTGGCTGTTCAGGGAGACACTGCTTTGGGAAGCATGCCTGGTGTTCTCTATTGCTGCAAGTAATAATGAATCCTTCCTCTCTCCGTCTCTGGCTTGGCTGTGTCTTCTGGTTCAACACCCACCAAGCGGCGAACCCAGTCACACTCACTGGGCTGCGACTTCAGTGCATCTTTAGGCACAATGCAACTCCAAGCACCTTGCAAAC